GAATAATAGTAATATATATGTATATCCTACCTTTCTTGACCGGGTAGAGCGCTCGTGCTGATAACGTGTTATGAAATACGGGGAATATAAAGAACACAATGTATAGAAACCAGAACAAAATATAAGCAGCTTTCTTTTCACTCTTCAGTTGTATTCGTACACCAAGTGCTATGCCTATATTGCCTTTTATAGGCAAAATTGGGCACACAAATCAATACATTTAATATAACAAATCAAAAGATAATATTTATATAATAGTGGTAGATCCACTTATTCATTATATTTACTACATTATGTGGGTATTAAATTATTAATCTTGAGTTATAACTAGTAAATATATAAATAAATAAATATATAATCAGGCTGCTTCTGTTCATCTAGGGAACCAATTTGGGGCTTTTTTATTCTTCCTCCAAACAATTCACCGTCGCTTATCCGTCTCTGCCTATGTCGACCGCCGCTGCAATTACACCGCCGCTCCTCACGTCGGGTGCCAATCCGTCCACCGCTGTTCCATTCCTAGAAGAATCGCAACCCCTCACACTTACCCCCGATAACCCATCAGCCACCTCTCAGCCCAATGACTCCGAATCCATACCGCCGCCGGTGCCGAAACCGGCTCCGCTTTTTATCAATTCGATCGCCGAATTGAAGGACCTGTCCGCCGCCATCTCATCCTTCCAGCAGTGCTACGAGGACCTCCACAACCACTTGGATTCCATCAAAATCGCAATTTCGTCCAAATTGCCCCAGGAAACTCCGCAGCCCCCTCCAGCCCCCAACCCATCTGAGCCTGCACCGAACCCTGACGTATCTGAGCCCGCGCCAACGATCTACATAGCCGAGTCATGTCCAAGACCTGATGTGTCTGATGGAACAGTATTGCAAAAACAACAAGAGCCAAATCCCCTTCATTCCGAACTCGAGGGCCTCTGTAAAACCATGTGCAGCCGTGGAGTCCGGAAATACTTGGTTACACACCTACCTAATCTTACCCAGCTACGGGAAGAAGTGCCAAAGGCGTTGAAGCTGGCTCCAAACCCTCCAAAGTTGGTGTTGGAATGTCTGGGTAAGTTCTACCTGCAGGGGAGTAGGGCATTCACTAGGAACTCCACCATGATACCGGCTCGTGAGGCGTCGATTTTTGTACTGGAGTGCTTTCTGCTGATGATGGGGAAAGAAAATGGGGTTTCGAATGTCGAGAAGGCAGTGCGGTTGGAGGCGGAGCAAGCCGCCTTGGCGTGGCGGAAGAGGATGGCGGCTGAAGGGGGTTTGGCCCAGGCTAACCAGATTGATGCAAGGGGGCTTTTGCTGTTTGTTGCATGCTTCGGGATCCCCAACTCGTTGAAGAGGGATGATATTAAGGATTTGGTGGCTGCTGCTAATGCCAAGGATATTGCAGGTGTACTGCAGATGTCTCAGGTGCTGATGAAGAAAATTTCAGGTGTTGCTTTCTCGCTTTCTCTATCTGTGTGTTTATAACATGTGTATTTGGCATCGGTTATGGGCTCTGTATTTGGCGTGTAGTATTCTCCATTTGATCATCTTTGGGGTAGGGATAGTGCATTGTATCTTTGTTGCAAAGTTGTTTGGTTCTGCTTGCACACCATCCAATAGGCGAGGTTTCACCTATCGTTCTTTCTAACTAACTGCAGAAATGGATTTGAAACATACAGAAGAGTGGAAATATAAGTTGGAAACTATTGAAAGATGTTTGCATATGAGGAATCTGAAACCTTTGAATGATGTGCGCATATAGTTATGCTAGGGGCAATTAAGATGTTGTAAGTATCATCACTTTTGTCTGTTATGTGGAAGATGATCTGACATGGACCCCAATATGTAGAATCTGTTTGCTGTTCCCTAGATATCCATTTACTTCCCGTAATTCACGAAAATACGTACCACATTTATTTAATTGGATGTTATTCATGTTGTTTGTCAAATGAATCGAATTAGTAATGTTTTAAAAAATCGTTGAGTAATAACTAGCTCCCTGAGAAAGCTGGAGCCTGTGTTAGTTGGTAGGTGTTGATCTGAATAAGCCAACCAGACGTGTTCCAGTTAAGAGTATTCAAACACTCTAGTCCAGTTAGTAGATCAGGACCTAACCAAGATCCAGTCGTTCCTATTTTGAGATAATACTAAAGTTTATGCTGTACTCATGTTATGACACAAAATAACATCAAGCCTATAAGATTTTCTCAACATTTTAAGGAAAACTTTTTATTCTGGTGCTTTTTCACTATGCGTCACTCTCACTTGCTTATGGTTTTTCTATATGCTGTAAGTCTCAGCATTCTCCGATAAGGTTGTGTTATTGTCAGATTTGGGATGGATGAGTAGGTTGATCTGAGTGACAATTTAACAACTCTAAGTGGAAGCATGGATATATGGAGTGGTGTATACCTTTTTCCCCCCTTTTTGCTTGTTCTCATCTGTGTCTTTTATTTGCTGTATTTGCTGCTTCTATATCTTAAAATTTAAATGCCCGTCTTTTTGGAGATTGATGCCAGTTTTATGTAGGCAGTTCATCAACTCTTTACTTATTCTCACTTTTATTAGATTTGTTTATGCAAATGATCAGTTAAATATTTTTATAGCAGACAACCTTGTGCACACTGCAGTAATTTTGGCACCTTATCTTCATTGAAGTCCTGAATTGTACTTTATCTTTATAACTATATTTTCTTGTTTCTTTTTCTTTTTCTTTTTTTTTTTTCAAACGGTAACATTGTAATTGTACATCAATGTCGGAATTGGATTTTACTTCTATAATTAGATTTTCTTCTGATGTAACTTTGTCTCTAGTTTCTGCATAAGGTGATAAATTTGTGCACTTTTTTATCGGTTTTTCGAATGGATACTTGTACACTAGGTAATTTCAATCTTTTGTGGGAGCATTTTTAATCCTCAATGTTGCATTAAAGGCATAAGCTTACTGATTATGCAGCCAAATCTGCATCAGTTACCAACTATGAGCCCAGCCTTGTTCACAATTTCAACGTTCCTGAGACTTTCTCGTTTCAATATTATAGTAAATATTAGAGCAGGGTGGGAGCACATGAAAAATGCAATCCCTCACCTCACTCTTATTGTCCTCGAATATCATATTACTGACAGTTGTACTTGCAGCATGTTCACTGTATACACGTGCATTGCTATTACTCCATTTTATCTAAATTCAACTTTTCATGGTAACTAGTTTTGTAGCCTCCTCACGTACAAGCTACAACTTTGTAATGTCTGCAGATATAGTGGAGCGTATGCTGAAGCACAAAATGGAAGTAGAGGCCGTTGATCTCATTTACACCTTTGGGCTTGAAGAGAGATTTGACCCTCAAAATGTTCTAGTTTCATATCTACAGCAATCCAAGGAGTCCTGGGGAAAGGGGTCACAGACATCCACAGCTGCACTGGTATGCAAATACCCTGCTCTCTGACCTAAAAGTAACAAAGTTGGCTATCTTTTGACTTTGTAACATTTAGCATTTTCTTACTAACCTCTTTTCACCTACATGCAGAAAGAAGCAAACAAGAAACAGTTATCTGCCCTGAAATCCATCCGCAAGTGTTTAGAACGGCACAATATTGACCCTGCACAGCTTCTCCCTGACTGGCAAATCAACGAGAAAATTACAACTCTTGAAAAAGACATTTCCGACTCTGACCGAATGAAGGAAGACAAATGGGCCCACAAGAGGAAACCCAGCGAAAGCGAGACCCTCCCGAGAAAGCCCAAAACCCACGAACCCAAACGACCGCGCTTTAATAACATCAGCCACGGTCAGCAACAGCACAGGGCAGATAGCCGGACAAACAATTCGACTCGTAGAAATAATAATATTTATCCAGCATCCACACCGGTGGTCTATGGGGGTCCGGGCGCAGGATTGCTTCCTGAGAGCATGGGTCCACCACGCGGTGGCACTGTCCAGTATGCCAGTGGGATCCACGGTGGGACCGACACGTACGCATGGCACATGGACGAGAGATATGGAAATAGTGGCCAGTCCTCGGCGAGCGGCGTGGGGCTTCGCAGCCTGTACGCACCCCCGCCTGCACCTGTGGTCGAGGGGTTTGCCAGGGGGATTCCAAGCGTTGGCCAGGCGTCCGATCTGTATCAGTTTGCGGATAGTGTGGAGAGCAAACCTTATGGGGATGGGGGGAGACTGGCCACAGGCGCTGCTCACACTTACCGGCCGCCATATTTTTACGAAGGCTGACCACCGCATGGGAAGTGGCTTCTTGTTAGATTGAGTACTTGAGTCGATTCCCATCTGTTTCCAAATTTTCAGTTTGACTTCAGGTAGGACTTGAATATGAATTTGGCTTCTTTCGCTGTGTAGTACTTTCGCAAACTACATTTGTTCGGAAGTGGTGCAAGCTATAATTATGAATATTTCTACTTTTTAATTACAACTTTCCATAAGGCCTTGGTCAAAGTTTCTGAATACTCATTATAAAAGGAGGTCAGGCTCTAAACAAAGGCCCAAACTGCCGGTTTGCAGATCAATTTTCTGCTGACCCGGAATCGGCCCAGGATGAGCACCGAGCCTGTTCATTATATTGGCTGTTTATATCTTGGAATATAAAAGATTGGAAGATAAAAGAATTGAACTTGGACTTAGTTGAGATATTATAAGTTCAAATATCATTTAGGTTGACTCACCAACATCTTCAACAATATCTATTGTAGGACAAGTGTCAATACGTCATTTGTGTATAACTGTGGATAGTTTCATAAATTGAGGCATTCGATTGTTCCATAGCACAAACCGACTAAGGTTGTTGTAATTTGCTTACTTTACTTGCCTTGAGGTGGCATGATGCATTCGACGTTTTACTCTTCATCGTCAATGTTGTCGGTTCTGCCAATTTTGGCATCCGACTCTTCATCATCCTCTTTAGTCAGTTCTCTTTTTCGGCCTCCTTCCAATCGCTCAACAACATTTGGGCCTTTAAGTTTTTGTGGCGTTAACCTTGATTGTCTAGAGTATATAATCCCTCATTAAATGTTGTTCAACCGTCATGGTTGATGTCGGAACAAGAAAAATCTTCTTGGCAATTAAAAATGGAATAGGACACGTGTTCTTCATTTTTTACCACCGATCCAAGACATCGGATTAGAATGGCGGTTGAGTGATTCTTAGATTGGCGGTCAAGTAGTGATCGAATTCATCATACCCAGTCCAATTATTTCTCGCAATCCCACCCGTTGAGCTATCGACATCTTGGTATACACTCAATCTTGCGGCCCAATTATGGAAGTTTTTGCTAATATCCATCGTTTGATGAAAAAATTGAGAACAAGATGAAATAGAAGAAACGACATATTTTCCTCGAGTATGATTGTTGTTTCCTTAGAGTCATAAAACAAAAATTTTGATTGCTCCACGAGCAGCTGTGGATTAGGACGTTCATTGACAGGAATAACATCACATGGAAGTGAGAGTGGATGCACAAGATCCTAATAAGTTTGGAGATGGTTGAGCAATCCGCTTTCACATATATGTGGGTCTAACAAATTCGCAAGTAAAATGGGACCAGAGATTTAATATTTTAACCATTTCGCAACACATCATTTACGCGGACACCGTTTGCTTTAGGATTATCAACATAAATCTCTATATAATCCCCCACATAACAGCTACAAATATAAAAACGATAAGTTGAGTAGAAGAATAGTAAACACGAGAGACAACTAATAACATCATTAAATGCACCCCAAAAGGTTATAAGCGTTTTACATTTGTGCCAATTATTGGAAAGAGTGATAATTACATTTGTGCCAATTATTGGAAAGAGTGATATTATCACTGTGCACACTCACTGTTTTTTTTTTTTTTT